GGGGGACATTTGCTTGCGTAGTGATGAGGGCGAGGTACTTGTATGCGCCGCCCCTCCAACGTCGGTCATCATCGAACTTCCGACTTGCCCCTGGTCAGATCACCGTTGCCCTGGCCCCGACATTGGAGGGGCGTCGCATCGACATTGAAGGGCGCGCGCCGTCCTCGAAGGGGCATTCCCGCCGTTCTTGAGGTTCATCTTGACGAGGGTAGTCGTTCTTCTGGGCCCCTGTTTTTCAATGGTGTCAGCTCCCGCGCTCTTGCGAACTCGCAAAGAATCCATGGGCTTCTCAGCGTGTCATCGAATTTGACCAAACAGGCCTGCCGTCAGCTCTCAAGACGGCCGCTTCTTAGAAGGCGCCAGCCTTAAGGCGAAGCCGCCAGTCATGTCACTCCTACAACAACCCAACATCGCAATGGAAGCTACTGCTAGTATGGCAAGAGACTGGCGCACAGCTTGGCTGCAGTCCGAGCAGCAAAGCCGGAAACATTGAGCGCCACGCGTGGATGCATTGCTCTGCGAGAGCGCGGAGGACTTCGAGGGGGCTCCAGGGCCCTGGCTGGCAGTCTGGCAGCGCGCGCGCGCCGAGCCTGCCTCGCTCGGCGGCGACGCGCCCCCCCCCCCCCCCCGAGCTGCGCGCCCGAGCCGCCTGGGCTCTCCGCTAGCTCTGCGCGAAACGGCGCCGCCAAGGGTCGCCAGGCGCCCTCAGATGCTCGAGGCCTCCTGGGTGGAGCCGCAGCAGATGGGGTGGGCGGATCGCCTCGCATCGCTGATGCATCGGCGATGAGCTCGATGTGGAGCCCGATTTTCTCGACGCCGACGTCGCCGATGCATCGCCGATGCATCGCCGATGCATCGCCGATGCATTGGCGATGCGGCGCGATCCTCCGACCCCGTTTGCTTGTGCCCCATCTGAGAGACTGCCTTCAGCTACTCGTCCAACGGAGGGCGCTTCTGGGCGACCGCGCGGGAGTCCGCCAGCGGTCCACTGGGGGCCGCCTACCGGGCCCCGCAGATCCTCACGGCGACCCCTGGCGCACTGTCTGCTGCGAGCCCATCCGGGGGGCGCGGTTTGGGACTTCTGCGAGGCCTCTGCGTTGCAGGTGTGCGTTGCCCGATGAGCAGCGGCAGCAGCAGCCGCGCCGGGACTCCTCCAGTACCGCGGCAGCGGCGGTACCGGCAGCTGCGCGAGGCACAGCAGCCCCTTGCCGCTACGCCGACGGCGGCGGCAACTCCCAGCCCCGCCGTTGCAACTGCCCCAGCTGCTGCCAGCTCCCCGCCCTCCGGCGCCAGCGCCAGCGGCGACAGCTGCAGCAGCGGCGCCGGCAGCTCCACCAGCAGCTGCAGCGCGGCGCCCGTGCAGCCAGAGCCGCGGGGGCAGCGGGTCCCGGAGCGGCGGGGGCGGCATAGGGCGAGCGACTGCGGCTGAGCCTGGGGAGGAGGCCGACGCTGCCGCCACCCGGCGCCTGGCGGCTCCTGGGCCCTACGCGGCCTTCCTGGCCGATGACGGCGCGGCTGCGGAGGAGGCCCTGGCGGGGGAGACTGACGAAGAGGCCCCCCCGGCGACCTCGGCCCGGATCCGGTCTCGGACTCCTTCTCGGCTTCTCCGCGTGACGTCCCCTTCGACGCCGTGCCCGTCGACGCTCCAGGCAGCCTTGAAACCCGCCAGTGGCGCCCGGCACTCCGCCGAAGCCTGGCCGCGCCTGCGGCCGGCGACCCGACCGACGCCCGCGCAGCCCTGTCCAGTGCTCGCGCTGGGCGGACGCGGTTGACGACGGCGCGGGCGGGCCAAGCGCGAGCGAACCCTCGCCCAGTGACCGACATGCTGCGAGGCCAACAGCACTGGACAGCGAACGCGGAGGCCCTGGCGAGCCCAGGGAATGCCCGGAGCGCGGGGCCTCCAGGGGGGCCGATGCCGACGTGATGTGCAAGCGACCCCGCCGCCAGATACAGTGGGGCCCCCTGGCTGGCGAGACGGCTGGATACTGCGTCAAGCGGCTCCAGCTCAAGGCTGGGGACAGTTTCGACAGCGGGTGGCACGCCTTCCGCGCGGCGCAGGTCGCCGGCAGCCGTCGCCCCGCCTGTGACCCTGGGAGGCGGCCTGGCGTCGACTGTCTGGTCTCTCTCCGGGAGCTCGCCGCCCGCGGACACGACGTGGTGGAGTGGGCCGACAAACAGCGCCTGACACTGGCACAGCACCCCCGCGGGGGGCGGCTGCAGGCACCGCAGCGGGTGCGGCGGCGCGCAATAGACCTGGACACGCCGCGGCAACAAGTGCATCTCCGAGGTTCAGCTGGTCTTATCCGCCTGGTCGTGGGCCTCGTCTTCGTCGTTGCTGTCGTCCTCGTCCGTCGTTGCCCGTAGCGGGCCCGCCGTGGCTGTCGCCGGGTCCTCCACAGGTTGCCGCGCCTATCAGGTCGCTCGCTGCGGAGGGTCCACCCTGGCCCTTCGCAGCTTCCTCGTCGCCAAGTTTGGTCACGCAGGTTGCTGCGCCGGCTAGCTTGGGCGCCCCCGCTGGCTGTCCCACCTTCTCGAGCGCGCCGCGGGGGCCTCCTGCCGCCATGGGGCGGCCCCCCCCCGTCCCGCCGCTTCTGTGCGCAAGGGCGCGCGCCCTCGCTTTCTTCTCTTCCGCCTCCGCCCCCCTTCTTTCTTGAGCAAGCTGCGATGTGCGAGCGCCGGGGGCGTGAGTGGGCGGCGGCCGCGGCCGCCGGCGAGCAAGACAGAGCCTCCTCGGAGGCCTTCGTCCGCCCCCCTTCCTGCCCCCCCCCCTCTCCTCGGGCCGCCGCGGCGGCTCCGCTGGGCGCCCGCGACTCCCGCCGCGGTGCGTGTCGGCCAGGCCCTGGACCTGGGTTTTGTGCTGCTAGTGCCAGTGCGCAGGAGGCCCGCCGTCCACGCGCCTCTCGGGTGGTTCCCGGCGCTGCCCTCTCCTCCTCCTCCTCCTCCTCCTCCTCATCCTCCTCCTCTTCCTCCTGTTGGCTCGAGCTGGGGGTCGGCTCAAGGAGTCCAACATAAGTTTGGTTCCAGCCACTCCGCTACCGTACCTTCGGACTGCTTAGATTGGGTTGCAGCTCTTTCAAGTTCTTTCTGGTTCAGATTGGGTTGCGCCCCTTCCAAGTTCAGTTGTGATTTTCTTAAGTGTGGCTTGATTCCGATTTCCACAGTGGCGCTTCGCATCGGACAGGTCTTTCAGGATATTCTCAAAATGGAAATCACCAAGCCGGGGGCCCGTTAGGCTGCCAGTGTGGACAAGGAGAACGTTGAGCGCAGCGCCAAGGGGCCTCGCAGTTCAAAAGGGGGCATCAAGTTGCACCAAGGGTTCGAATGTTGTTCCTCTCGGAGAAAATGGCTCTTATTTAGGTTATTCGGGTTCGCGGCCTCCGACAGTTCGGGAGTTCTTTCGCAACTTGAAGCCCTACTGGACAGAAGGTGTGTTCCTTTTGAAGAAACGTTTGGTGCGATCTCTTATGACATACAGGTTTTCCAGACTGATGTTGCTCAAGAGCTCTCGACAGTAGCCGGGGATGTCAACGGCAATGCGGCGCGTATTGACGCGCTCAAACTCGAGAATGAGTTTTTCAAAGCCTACGGGGATGAGATTCAGTTGCTTGAGACCGAACAGAAGGCGATTAGGGCTGACATTGCAGCCAACAAGGCCTCTCCTGTAGTTATGGGTTCTTCTCAGAAAGCGGGGCCTCCCTGGGCCAGAGCCCCTCGTTCAGAGAGAGAGAGAGAGAGAGAGAGAGAGAGAGAGAGAGAGAGAGAGAGAGGGAGAGAGAGAGAGAGAGAGAGAGAGAGAGAGAGAGAGAGAGATCTTCATCCTTTCAAATCTGGGTTGGGATCTGAAGAAGCCAGAAGCTCTCGATAGCCTGGGGCGTCATCCGTCGAGCGGGGTCGCCCAGCCTGTGGGCACTGTCGCTCCCTGCGGTTACGGCAGTTGTGTCGAGATCAAATGGGCCTCGGCTGCAGGGGGAAGTGGGGAGTCAAGCTGCTGACGCAGTCCGCCAAAGGGCTTTCTTTGATCACGGGGACAGGCCGATTTGATGTGGTCAGATCAGCACGAGGAAGGAAAGGGCTCCAGGGGGGCTTTTCAAGACGGTGGCAGACGCCGTCACAGCCGCCGTGGGGCGAAACACCGACTCCTTTGTGATGTGTGCTCGCACTCGTAAGATCTGGGTTGAAGATCATATCATCTGGGCGGTTATTGCAGGGGAGTGGTAATATGAGGATGTTTGTTCCGAAAGGATCCCAGCGGCCCAGTGCAAGGAGGCGGTTCGCAAGGCGGTAGACGACACCCCCAAGAAATGAGGGGGGCACGAGCATGTTAGGGGGCTCGTCTGCGCTCTGAACAATCAGGGCATATGCGCAGATGATGCTGCAATTCAAGCTATTTTGGGTTCACTCGAGCTGACGTGATGGGGAATTATTGCACTTGGGGGTGGGCTTTAGGAACGGTCCCAAAGAGGGTGATGGGGAACTCTCTCCTGCCTCGGGTGGTCGCTCGCTTTCCTCCGCCATCGTCCTGGCCCTGGACGTAGAGCCAGGGGTATCCTGATTCATCGTTCTCTCAGAAATCGCGTGAACATGTCATTTTCGATTGGAGATCAGTTCGTGTTGACCTCCTTCCAGTTTGTCTTGAGGGTTGTCACCGTCCTGCCCGTTCCTTTCTCTTCTCATCTTGCTCATGATCTCTCTGCGGATTCTCTCGGTATTGCCATTGCGCTTGGAAGAGCCCGACCCGGGAGTTCCATTCTTTCTTGTCTGGGGGGTGCGACTGCTGACCAAGGGGATGGGGGCCCAAAATTTGAATCCTTTCTTGGTGCGCGTCGTAATCTCAAACTTGGCTGGGCTCCTTTGAGATTTTTGGAGACCAACATGTAGCGTGCCAGGCGACCTGGCGGGAGTCGAGCATTTTCCAAGGCTGTTCTGTCATTGATCATGTTGCTCTGGATCGGGGGGTGGGTCTCAATCAGATAGCTTTGCACGGTGGGCTGAGGCGCCAGGGGGTCGCGCGTTGATCGGTTGTGATGTGTTGGCATTCTCTTCCAAGAGAGAGGCGCGCAGGCCATTGCTCTGGGTTCCCCCTGCATTTTTGAGGTCTCCAACATTGCTGAAAAGACCCCCCCCCGAATCGTCGGAACTGGTCCGTTTTGACGGGGGCAAATGTCCTGATTCGTGCTCGGTGAAATTACGGGGCCCGACCGATTTGGCGCCTTCTTTCAGCTCCGGGGGGTCGATCCTGGGGCGCGCGCGTGGAGCCGCGCAGGCCGCGCCCAGGAACATCAGAAGACGCGCGGGATAACCCATTTGGATCAAGTCCTTGAGAGCAAAATATCGTTCTGATTGTAATGAGGAAAAAACGTGTTTCGGTGGGTTCCCTGCTGTTGAGAGCCCTCAAGATCCTTAGATTAGCTGGGGGTCTAGTCGGATTGCCTATTTAACATCTCAGAAGGTGTCGGTGTGGGCCTCTCGCAAGTCTCTTCTTCCTATTCTCGGATTCGTTCGAGATGGCCAATAGATCCTCGATCATGCAGAGTGCGCCCAGCTTGTCTGCCAGTAGTGTTCGGTCAAGTGGGGTCTCTCAGACGCCGACGAGCGGGGGGGCGATCGTATGTTTCGCAGCTTTGGCTTCCTCGACGACTTCGAGACGCCGGTTGCTCAAGACATCATGGATGGGGTTTTTGATGGCATCGAGCCTCCCCGTAAGACAGATGCCCACTTGGGTTGTGCGGCCACTATCAAGATTGCAGGATGGACGAATGGGATCAACCCCTGTATTCAAGCGGCTTCGGGTTCCAACGCCTTCTGGTCGGGCATCATTTTCCAAGGGCATCTGGGTAGCAAGGTCAAGGGCTTAGGTCTGCCGTCTCAAACTCGAATTGTCAGTCCTCTACCTACGATTGCCAAGGTCTGGCATGCATTTATTGCTCCTTCCATCCTGTCCGCCTTGGATAATTGCGCTCAGTCAAAAGGCGTGTCTGGCCTCGTGGATTTAATTGACAACCCTGCGCCGCGCTTGACCGCCTCCACTGCTCGCGCAAACATCCCGCCCTCCCACCCGCGACTTCTTTGGCGAAGTCCCTCAAGGCCGTGGCGGCGGGTGCCAAGTGGCACTGGGCAACGACAGCGACGCCGGCGACGACGGCGACAACGACGACGACGACGCCGCCGACAACGACTGCGACGGCGCCGACGACGTCCCCAACGACTTCGACGACGCCGACAACGACGCCGACGACGACGCCGACGACGGCCACGGCGACGCCGACGCCGACGACGACGACGACGTCAACGACGCCGACGACGACGGCGGCGACGACGACGACGCCGACGTCGACGACGACGAAGACGACGACGACGTCGCCAACAAAGACGACGACGAGGGAGGAGGGAGGACGCCGACGGCGACAACGACGACAACTACGACAACGGAGGAGGGAGGACGGCGACGACGCGAAGGACGAAGAAGGAGGAAGGGCGGCGACGCCGACGACGACAACGACGAGGGAGGAGGGGAGACGACGACGACGACAACAACGACGACGACGACGGCGACGAAATAGGAGGGGCGACGACGACACGCCGACGACGGACGACGACGACGACGACGAGGGAGGGGGAGGAAGGACGACCACGGCGACAACGACGACGGAAACGACAACGACGCCAAAGAGGACGACGACGACGAACGCGAGGAAATACAGAGGACGACGTAGGCGACGACGACGACGACGCGGGAGGAGGGAGGACGGCGACGACGACGACGACGCAAGAGCGCGCGGACGCTGTTGTTGACATTCCGTGTTGCGAAACCTTTGGTTTTGTAGGTTTTTTGGGCGCGCGATTTTGAAACCCTTCCGACGCCGATGGGTTTTTGGGGATTTCGGCATTCGCGCGCGACGACGCGCGCGCCTGCACTTCGTTTCCCTTTTTTTTTTTTTTTTTTTTTTTTTTTGTTGCAGAGGATTCTCGCGACGGCACGCGCGCGTGGGCGTTCGACAGATTTCGATATGCGCGCGCGAAGCCCGTTTGGAAGAATTTGGTGAAATCTGGAATCACCTATGGTTTTCTTGATATTTCGCAAGAGCTCGCGCGTGAGCTTTCGCTGCAAATCAGTGTTGCGGAACCATGTTTGTTTCCCCCAACCAACCTGTGTTGTTGGGTCCTCGTTTTGAAGAGACGGTGGCCCGCGTCTCTCCTCCTCTCCTCCTCCTCCCCCTCCTTCCTCCTCCCTCCTCCCGCCATCATCGTCGTCATCATCATCATCGTCGTCGTCATCGCCGTCATCACCATCGTCGTCATAATCCCGCACCCATTTCGGCACACCCCTCGCGCGTTTCGTGGCCCCATAGGGAGCCCCGCCGAAGGTCCCAGTGGGTGTGCCCGCATGCGTCCCGCACACCCATTTCGGCGCACCCCTCGCGCGTTTCGTGGCCCCATAGGGAGCTCCACCGAAGGTCCCAGTGGGTGTGCCCGCATGCGTCCCGCACACCCATTTCGGCGCACCCTCGCACGTTTCGTGGCCCCATAGGGAGCCCCACCGAAGGTCCCAGTGGATGTGCCCGCATGCGTCCCGCACACCCATTTCGGCAAACCCTTCGCACGTTTCGTGGCCCCATAGGGAACTCCACCGAAGGTCCCAGCGGGTGTGCCCGCATGCGTCCCGCACGCAAATTTCGGCACACCCCTCGCACGTTTCGTGGCCCCATAGGGAGCTCCACCGAAGGTTCCAGTGGGTGTGCCCGCATGCGTCCCGCACACCCATTTCGGCACACCCGTCGCACGTTTCGTGGCCCCATAATGGGGGCTCCACCGAAGGTCCCAGTGGGTGTGCCCGCATGCGTCCCGCACGCCCATTTCGGCACACTCCTCGCACGTTTCGTGGCCCCATAGGGAGCTCCACCGGAGGTCCCAGTAGTTGTGCCCGCATGCGTCCCGCACGCCCATTTCGGCACACCCCTCGCACGTTTCGTGGCCCCGCAGGGAGCGCCGCCGAAGGTCTCGGCACACCCTTCGCACGTTTCGTGGCCCCATAGGGAGCTCCACCGAAGGGGCGACCTGCGCGCGTCGCTGGGACTCCGCGCTGCGCTGCGCCCGCAGCTTTGGACTTTTGAGTGCGCGGGCACAGAGGGAGTAAAAGAAGGGGAGGAAGCGGGCGCGATCCTCGCGGTGGCGTCGCGGCGCGCGGGCGATGCCGTCGGGGAGTCCCGGGGGAGCTCCTTGCGGCGGCCACGCCCGGCGTCGCGAGTACTCAGAGGCAGTCGTTCACAAACTAGTAGCATTCATATACACTTGCACCGTGCATGGGCATGCTCGCATTCATGCACGTAGATTCGCTCGCACGCAGATTCATTCACAGTCAGACGCGCTCGCGCTCAGATTCGCCCGCGCTCAGTCTCCCTACGTGCTCAGATCAATCGTTTTCGTTCGCGTTGTGTACCACGCCATTCATTTCGGCACGCCACTAGCACGGTTCGTTGCCCCATAGGGATCACCACCGAAAACGGGAATCACAATTGCGGTACTCACACCTGCATATGGTTGGGTCCTTCGCCTGGCTAATTTTTTGCTTGAGAACTCGATTGCGGAGTCCTCCCGAAGCCGAAGGTTTTTGAAGGATTTCGGCATGCGCGCGCGACGACGCGCGCGCGTGCACTTCGTCGTTTTTTTTTTTTTTTTTTTTTTTTTTTTTTTTTTTTTTTTTTTTTTTTTTTTTTTTTTTTTTTTTTTTTTTTTTTTTTTTTTTTTTTTTTGCAAGGGATTCGTGGACAAGAGTTATGTTCGAACGAACAATGCCCCCGCGTATTTTTTTCGGGGGGCCCTCAGAGGGGGCCGATCCCAGTTCCCCTGGGATAGTGCACATTCAAATTTAGGATGGACATGTGATCATAATCGTACATGATTTACATGCCCCGAAGGGGGGCGGATGGCGCCGATTTTTTTTTTTTTTTTTTTTTTGTTTTTTGTGTGTGTGTGCCAATTTTTCTTAAAAAAGGAAGGGGAATTCCGCTACTGAGGACCCTCACGTACTTAATTTAAATCTTATGTATTTGCTTTTCATGATCATCTATGCGGAAACCTGCGTTCGAAACCCTCGTAGCGAATGTTTCCCTATTTTGTCATCCAACACACTACTGAATGACCCTCCTCCCTCTTCCCCGCATTCTATCCTTCATCGGGGAAAAGCTCGAGGTGGTTGCCGAGGGCCGTTTCCTGGGATCGCAGCAACCAACGAGGTGATGCAAAACGATTCGCCACAGCTCGAGTAGTCAGGGGGGCCACTTGGAAGTTGGTGCGAATCACACACTCTTGCCTCATGCTGCGTTCTCCCGCGCCCCTGCCTCCCTTTCTTTCCTCGGTCGGTCTACTCTTTCTAGTCTCATGCAGTTTCCACGCGTCTGTTGCCGCGTCTCTTCGACGGAGAGTCTCTGAGGTGTGCGCGCAAAAGACTTGCATGGCAGATGTGATCCGCCTGCGTGCGACATGCGAGTGATCTTGGATGGAAAATCTCTGGGCTGTGGTTGCCGCGGCGACCGAAGCTGGGCGGGCGCTCCGAAATCGTCCAGAAGCGGCACGGGCCGCGCGAATTCGACGCGGCTGGACAGCGCTGCCTTTGTCGGAAAGACTCTGGCGGCCGTGCGCTCCGACAACCCGCTCCGGCGACAGTGTCGTGGATAGCGGGCGAGCTCAGGGACCGCCCCCTGGGCCCAGGCGCGGGCCAGACCCGACGCGGGCTCGGCGCTTGTCGCCCTAGGCGCAGGCGAAGCCGAATGTCTGGTTTTGCTTTGCTGGCGCAGCGGAGGCAGCCCAGCGCGGCCGAGCTCCGTTCTGCGCGTCCCAGCCCCCGCGAGCTCAACATAGTGCAGTGCCGTTCAGGTCAGCCCAGCGCAGGTGAGTCCAGGTCAGCCCAGCTGGGTCCAGCTCAGAGACCAGCGAGTTGTGAACCCCTCGGTCCAGTGGCGGTTTGGCTCGAGCTCGCGCGCTCGCCCTCGCTTCTCCTCGCCGCCGCGCGACCGCCAGCATGGCGGTGGAGGCCCGGCAGGGCGCGCCCGCGGCCCGGCCCGAGGGGTCGCCCGTGGCCCAGCCGGAGGACGCGCCCGCGCCCCTGCTCGAGGCCGCGCCCAGGGCCCAGCCCGCGGCGGCGCAGCCGGCCGACGGCCGCGGCTCAGACTCCAGCTCCAGCGGCGGCAGCGACAGCGAGGGCGACGCTGCTGCCGACGAGCCCGACGCCGAGTCGGACGCCGACTGGGTCAAGGAGGAGGAGAACGAGCAGGCGCGAAGCCACGTCTTCCTGGTGACCTACTCCGCCCTGCTCAACGCGCCCGAGGACGCGGGCATGGCGAACCCAGCCGACATGGACGACAGGGAGTTCTTCCGGAAGGCGCTCCTAGACGCGGTGGCCAACCTCGCCCCCGCCGCCGGCAGCCAGGGGGGGCGCCCGCGGACCAGGGCGTTGGAGGTCAACTTCCTGCTCACCGTCCAGGAGAAGCACCAGGACGGGAAGGTGCACTACCACCAGGCAGTGAAACTGTCGCACGAGACTCGCTTCCTGCCAATAAAGACTGCGCTTCGGCAGCGGTCGAAGCTCGCCTCTCACTGGAGCACCTCGCACACCGAGCTCTGGAGCGCCGTGCGCTACCTGACGCGCACCAGTGACAGGGAGAAGTCGGTCGACCGCAGCCCCGACGTCTGGGCGAAAGGCGGCTCGGCGCCCAACCTCTACGAGATGGGCAACGAGGGCTGGGGTGCGAAGATGCACAAGCGCAGGCGGGAGCAGGCGGCGATGGCGGCGGGCGACCAGGTCCTTGAACGCAGCGCAAAGAAGTCGAAGGAGATCTTCGGGAAGCTGGACTTGTACGCCCTTGTCGTGACCGACAAGTTGCTGACGCCTCGCAAGGTGATGACGCACGCGCAGAAGAAGGGCTCCCTGGCCATGCAGAACTACGTCGCCCGCAACCAGCGGAAGTTGGCCGAGCTAATCGAGGAAGCTCTGGAATGGGAGGGGGCGTCGGAGAGGGCCGAGGAGGACGACGAGAGCGACTGGGGCCTCATCCTGCGGAAGGCTGCGTGCACGTGCGCTTGCGGCGAGGCGGGCTGCGAGTGGTGGGCGGCAGCCGTGGCCTTCTTCGACAGGAACCCGGGGGTCGACAGGGACTACTTGGCGGCGTGCTTGGTGAAGATCATCAAGGAAGGCCCGAGCAAGACGGCGCGCGTGCCTCTCATCGTTGGGCCGCGCAACGCCGGCAAGAGCACGGTCTTGGAGCCGGTGCTGACTCTCTTTGGGGAGGGCGGCGTTTTCACGAAGCCCAAATTGGGCGCCTTCTGCCCCCTGGCCAAGCTGGTCGGCCCACAGCGTCGGTTCATTTTCTTTGACGACTACAGGCCTGTGGAGTACGCTTCCATGCCAGAGAGAAGCCCCACAGTACCAGTCACGGACTTCCTGGCGATGTTTTGTGGCCAGAAGTTTCAAGTCCAAGTCAGCCAATGCTTCAACAACGGCCAGCCGGACACGATCTGGAAGCGCGGGGCTGCCATGACTGCGAAAAAGAAGGGCTTGTGGATGCCGAGCGACGTTGTGCCGCAGGAGGAAATCCGCCACATGCAGGCCAGAGTCGTCCAATTTGAGGCGAAGGGCAAGCTGAAGGAGGCTGATTTCAGGACCGTGCCTAAGTGCTCGGAGAGTTTTGCGCGGTGGCTGGTCACGGGTTCTACGCAGTATGGGAACAGGCTCCCGCGGCAGCCAACAGCCAGCGAGGAGGCGCAGCCGCGCAGGGTTGTACTGCCTTTGCCACCGTTGCCTGGCCCAGCTGCCTCTTGAATTCGGTGTCGCTTCCTGCGTGGGCCTTCTCTTCGCACTGTGCTTGTGTCAGACAACCAGTTGTGTAGGGGAACCAGTCGGCACGGGACGCATGGGGCAAGTTTACAGACGTGGGACGCACTTTTCTCGTTATTGTGATTAGGCTCAGCTGATCCAGCCGCTTTTTACATTAGATGCCACTTGTGGCTTTGGCTTCCTTTTCGCATGACTGTGTCAAACAAACATTTTTGTAGGGGACACCAGTCGGTACGCGATTTACAAAGCAAGTTGAGCAACGTCGGGCGCGCTCTTCACATCACGGCTACGCGCCAGCAGTTGGGGTGCATTATTGGTTCTGCTGTGGGCTCACATTTCCAGAAAACTCTTCGCCCTCCTCCGTCGCCCTCATCGTCGTCATCCTCGCGCCCCTCACTTCCGCCCCCCCATCGCTGCCCATCGGTGGGCGGCGCCCGAGAGCACTGTGGCCGCCCTGGGCCCGAACGCACCCTGCAGCACGCGTGGTCTGAAGGCGCCACCATCGCCGCCGTAATCGTTATCTTCCGTGTGGTTGTCCCTGCTGCGAGGCGCATCCAGCCGTGGCGACGAAGGGTTTCCAGGAGGCCCCACAAGGCCCGACAATCGTCCGAGGACCATGTGCTGATTTGATGACCCTTCCGCACTCCCCCCAGAGTCCTCAGACCCCCCCCCCGATCTATCCCAAACCTCCGCACTCCTCTCAAAACTTGCAGACCCTCTCATTCCTCCACACACCCCGCCCTCCTCCCACAACCTCCAGGCCATCTCATTCCTCCACGCCCACCGTTCCGCACTCCTCCCAACACCTCCCGACCACTCCCATTCTTCTCCACCCCTCGCCACTCTGGCAAAGACTTCCGGGATCCTTCCATTCCTCCCTCAATTTCCGCACTCCTCTCCAGATCCTCCCTCTCGCCACCTCCGCACCCTTCCCAAATCCTACAGGTCCTTCCACACCCCTCCGCACTCTTCCCAACAAATCCAGACCTTCCCATTCCTCCACGCCCCCCCGCACTCCTCCCAAGACCTACAGACCACCTCCATTACTCTTATACCAAAAACTTCCGCTTCTGGGACCCTCCCATTGCTTCTAAACCTCCGCTCTTCTCCCAAAACCTCCAGGTCCATCCCATTCATCTCACAACCTCCGCACCCCTCCCAAAACCTGTGGGTCCCTCGGATCCTTCAGCGGTCCTCCCAAAACCTCCTATCCCTTCTCATTCTTCCACACCCGTCCGCACTCCTCCCAAGACCTCCAGACCCCTCTCATTCCTTTCCATGCACCCCTCCGCACTCTACCGAAAACCTCTGGGAACCCTCCATTCCTCCCTGAACCTCCGCTCTCCTCCAAATCTTCCGGGTCCCTCCCAGTCCTCTCACAACCTCCGTACCCCTCCCAAAACCTCTGGGCCCCCCCATTCCTCCCACAACCTCCGCACTCCTCCCGAAACCTCCAGATCCCTCCGCATTCCCCCAGAACCTCTACACCCTTTCCCATTCCTCACTTTCCTCACTAAACCTCCGCATTTCTCCCAAAAACTCCAAACACCTCCCATTCCTCCACATCACTCCGCACTCCTCTGAAAGCTTCCTGGTTCTTCCCATTCCTCTCTCAACCTCCCCACTCCCCCCAAAACCTCGAAAAGCGTCTCGTTCCTCCTCTTCTTCCTCCTCCTCTGCTCTCTCCTCCTCCTCCTCCTCCTCCTCCTCATCCTCCTCCTCCTCTCCCTCCCACTCCTCCTCCTCCTCCTTCTCCTCCTTCTCCTCCCCCTCCTCCCTGAACCTCCGGTCTCCTCCAAATCTTCCGGGTCCCTCCCAGTCCTCTCACAACCTCCGCACCCCTCCCAAAACCTCTGGGCCCCCCCATTCCTCCCACAGCCTCCGCACTCCTCCCGAAACCTCCAGATCCCTCCGCATACCCCCAGAACCTCTAGACCCTTTCCCATTCCTCACTTTCCTACTAAACCTCCGCATTTCTCCCAAAAACTCCAAACGCCTCCCATTCCTCCACATCACTCCGCACTCCTCTGAAAGCTTCCTGGTTCTTCCCATTCCTCTCTCAACCTCCCCACTCCCCCCAAAACCTCGAAAAGCGTCTTGTCCCTCCTCTTCTTCTTCCTCCTCCTCCTCCTCCGCTCCCTCCTCCTCCTCCTCCTCCTCCTCCTCCTCTCCTCCTACCCCTCCTCCAATGCAACCGCTGCTATCGATGGAACCTCGAACGTCGATCTTCTTTCCTTGTTTGAACCTCGGTAGTCGACCTTCGATTGAACGTCGAACCTTTATCCTTGATCCTCCTCACCCTCATCCTTCCCCCAATTCTCCGCATCCTCTACCCTCCGCGTCAGTCTTCACCCTGCAGGGCGATGATAAACGCAGTCGGTGGACAAAATGTCGCAAGTTATCTGAGCATTATGATAAACAGCGTGCCAATTAGGATCAGATTCCATCGATCTCTGAGGACCCCCCCATCCCCACATTTCAATGTTGACTTGCATTATTTTGTCCGCCCAGACTTGGGGTGCTCGCGTGGCGCCAACATTGAGATGTAGGGGGCGGGGATTGTTCGTCGAGGTGGCGCCGCAATGTAAGTGCAGCCGCGCGCGTTCAGGAGCAACTTGCAAAATTTCGTCGTCCCACCGAACCAGTCGCTTTTTATTTGTGGGTTGCCTGAGACTTCGTTGGAATCCCAGGGTCACCATTTTCCTTTTGGATTCAGAGACGGATGTGATTGATCGCCGAAAAGGGTTGATGCAGGGAGCTGGCGCTGCATGCGTGCTTGAAAGAATCGCCGTGGCAGACTGTTTCATCTGTACTCTTGACAAGATATATGGGGCGTTCCTGGGTATCGCATTTAGAAGCGAGACCTCGGGAGCTGACTTCGCTCTCTCCCTCCTCAGTTGGTCAGGCAACATCTTCGCGACGGGTTCCAGCTTCGCAGATTTAACTCGGCTCGCTAATTTCCTTGAAGGGGTTCTGGGAGTGGCGCGGGCTCCGTCTCAAACCAGACAGGGGAATTCTCGCCTCCGACCCCCGCGCTGTCGACAGCTACGACAGGATGGATGCATCTGCTTCTCAGTGGACCGTCGTTTCTGAGGCCATGGTTCTCGGTCCCATTTTGCCCTCCAACGGGTCGCGTGATGCGGATGTTCGAAGGGGGCTTCAGCAGATCAGTAGCGCTTTCTGGTTTAATAATTAATTTCTTTTGAATGGCAAGATCCCTATGAGTCCACGGCTTGCGAAACTTACCAGTATGGCCTGTGGCATTATCAGGTTGAGTGGTGCTGCTTGGGTTCCTTCCGGACATACTTCGGATTTGATTCCCCAGACTCAGAACAACATCATTGAATTCATGCTTAAAACGAAAAGACAGTTTGGGGGGGCATCCGACCAGTTGAACTTTCGGAGAGACAGGAAAGTCAAACGTACAGGGGCGTCTGCTGGGCTCTTCATTTGGAATCGGCAATAAGCTGGCTAGCGCGCATGCAGATGCATCCGGAGGATCATTCTTCCAGGCTTTTTCGTTATTGTAAACGCTGGGTTTCAGAGCGTAGTTTTTTTTTTTTTTTTTTTTTTTTTTTTTTTTTTTTTTTTTTTTTTTTTTTTTTTTTTTGATAACTTAGGGGGCAGCCGAACCAATTCTAGAACTCATGGGGGCCATGTTTTCCGATGCGATTGCAGGTCTTGGACTGCCCGCTTCTCTCTTGAGGGATTTCGATAAGAAGGTGCGTCATCAACTGGCTCGGGGTATGTTTGATTGGTTGATGAATTCTCCTTTCCTTTCCTCTCAGTAGCTCTTCGGCTCAAGTATGCGCTGCGCTTTCGTGTGTTTCTTCATCCCGCCTCTGATCAGAGGCCTTATGACGACAATCTCTTCTTCGGCCAATCTATATTCTCCTGACCTGGGCGAGGTCTGGTGTCAGATCACTCTTACTGTTCCTCTGGGTTCTGCTCGAATCATTCCCGCTGCTCCTCTGGGTTCTTTCGATCGCAAGGCTCTGGGTCGTTGGGCATTCAATCGCAAGTTGGCTTCAGATGGTACTGGAGGCAGCGATGGCGTTCCTTTGGGTTCGGCTGAGAAGCAGAGGCTTTCAAACTATAAACAGAAGAAGTGCAGAAATGCCATTTTGGCGCCCACTCCGAGGATCCCAGCACCAGTTTTGCTTAAGAGCCCTCTGCCTCCACCTCCGCCGCCCGCGCATGTCGCTACTGAGGCGGCTCCGAAAGGGTCCGTCAGCAGGAGCCGAAGGAGGTCGCCGATTGCAGGGCGCAAAGTGGCGCCGGGTGGTTACGGTCCATCAGGGGGTGGTGCTCATTCCCTTGGGGGCAAGAGCATGCCTGCTACGCGGGGCTAAGAGTCAGCCGGCCCTGCAGAGGCTCAGAAAGACATCTCCGAGGGGGGTGGCCCTGCGGAGGCCGGCGGGTCTAGCTCTACCGATTCCAGCGATGAGTCCGCGGGTGCTCGAGCGATTCCCAGGCCTCGAGCCCCTCCAGCCAAGCCGTGGGAGCACGCCGTCAAGCCTTGGATCAGCCCGTTTGGCCCGCCCATTCTCATGTCCCAGATCAAGGAGGATGAAGATGGCTGTCCGATCTTTCCTCCTGCAGATAGGTTGGATTTCGATGGGGCGGACAGGGGGGATTGTATTCTAGTCTTTTGTCCTCAACTTACCGCTTGTGACGTTATCCGCTCGCGTGATGCTGGGGCAGGCTCTACTTTCACGGTGGAGAAACTCACGCCTATTGTTGTCGACAATCAGGGCCCTCCTCTCAGCAACCTGGGAATTCCTGCCCTTCGAGAGAAGGGTTTCTTGAGGGCCAGCGATGTCCTCGACGTTCTTCATCGCTGTGGGTTTGCCTTTGCGGATCGGTCGCACATGAAGTTGCGCGGCTGGTCCTTAGACGCGCGACGAAGCCAGGGAAGTTGGCCCACGTTTCATTCCCTATGCCAAATCAGTGAGCGGCTCCAGGAAGATCAAGGGCGGTGAGGCCCTGGCCCCCCTGCTCCAAATGGGGGGGGGGGGCGATGTGAGCGACCTGATTTCAGTCTACTGCGGCTCCCAGGACGCACCAGTGAGTTGCCATCTTTTCTGCGAGCCAAGGTCAGTATTCTAAATTGGGTTATTCGCGGTGGGTTCCTGCTCCCTTCGTCCTTTCTCATTTCCTCTCATATTGTTGTTGGGTTCTTCGCGTTTCACATTGCCGGCGCGCCTCGCCCGAGGTCTTCGTATCTTTGGGTTGGCATGTCTTCTAGTGTCGCTTCGCTCTACTGACAGGCAAGTGGGCCGTTCGGGTGGCTTGGCCGAGGCTGCGCCTTTCTAGATAATAAAGAACCCCGCCTCCCGCCTGCCGCTCGGGATTCTATCCTCTTGGGTGGGGTCTGGGGTATCTCTTCGGAAGTGTTCCCTTCTCTGTCGCCCGATTGGCATGGCCTCCCAGGGTGGGCTTCTAGTCTCGGGCTCGACTTGATCGAGGGCAGTCTTGCCATGTCATGCGGGTGGTCTTCATCTTGCCCCCCCCGTCCATGCCTTGTTTCCTCTCAAATCTAGGTTCCGTTAACCATGTGCGAACCTGTTGATTGGGGGCCGATCTGATATGTGGCGTATGTTTTTTTTGTCCAGAAATGGAGCTTTTGGCGCGCCATCATCAACTTATTGTGGGCATCTTTGGGCACCTTGCGTCGCGTGGGTTATAGGGTGTGAGACTGTCGAGGTGTCTTGTCTCGCTGCCACTTGGTGCTCGAAGAGTGTACCCGTGGCATTGCATATCCTGTGCATTTAGTCTGCTTATCTGCCTCCTGTTTCGACCTTTTGTTCCCTACTCAATGATCCCGTTGTCATCGAACGTGGCGTTGGTCCTGGGCGTTTGAGGCCAAGGCATTATTTGGTGACTGACGACTTTTTCTCCCTGCTGCAGACTTCTTCGCTGTGGTGCGATCGTGTGTGCTCTCTTCCAGTTAAGTTTCAGGTGTAGGGTTCGTCTTCGTGTTTGTAGTGTTCTGCCTCATCGTGCACTGTCCAATGGTTTTTTTGTTGATCGGCGGATGCGCTTTGGGCCTCGATCGAATATGAGTTCTGGGTTACGGATTGGTCTTCTGTTCTCTCAACCTGTCCTTGCAGCATGGGGAAGTGCAGAGCTACTCTTGTTTTTCTCCTCGCCAACTCGAGGACGAAGTGGCGCGGGGGCTCGGGGGGGCTGGTGGCACTACAGTGAGCGTGGCGAGTCCTATGCAAATGTGTGGGAGCACGAGTGCCACGCGGTTTGGGTAGATCCAGAGAGCGGCTGGGCCCAGAACGTGATTTGGTACTTAAGCAGCCTCGATTGGACTGACGACGGTGTTGTCGAGTGCTGGAAGTGGAGGGCTGCTCCGTCGATGTGCGACTAAAGGAGGCGTTCCTTCCTCCGCTGCATTCGGTCCTGCCCAATACAACGTTATAGGTCTCGGTCTGGCACGCGATGCTAACTTCTCAGACACGTTGGTGTTCTTCATGTTGCGCGTGCTCACTTACTTAGGTTCACAGTGCTGTATTCGTCACCTTTTCTTTCCTACATCAGTTTGGGCTCCAATTTTCTGTTCTTTGTTTCTATCGTTTATCTGCCCCTTTTACGTTCACTTGCTTCTGATCGCGGGATCTTCCATGCCGCTCTATGGGTTGCCGTCTCAGTTCAAAGTGATTCCATTGCCTTCGTTCTATTTGGATTCTTTGAAGATGCAAAAGTGAACGCCGCCTGGAAGGCTCAAGTCACACACTTGGTTCAGCTTATCATTCTGGGTTCTTCTTCTTGCTATTTCTTCCCCTTTCTCCTGATCCTTTTTCTTCCCCACCTACTATCGATGTGGCGGCTGGTGGTGGCACTTCTGAGTCGCGTGGATCTCGGGAACCCGTCATTAAGGGCGTGCCATCATCATCGTCATCATCCTCCTCTTCTTCCTCCGCCTCCTCCTCCTCCTCCTTCTCCTCCCCCCCCTCCTCTCCTCCTCCTCCTCCCCCTCCTCCTCATCCTCGTCCTCCTCCTCCTCCTCCTCTTCCTCCTCCTCCTCCTCCCCCCCTCCCCCTTCCCCTCCTCCTCCTCCTCCTTCTCCTCCTCCTCCTCCTTCGACAGTCGCGCTGGTGCGCGTCGCCTTTGAGTGCATTGGGTCCTGGTGCCTACGGCCGCTTGCGCGCTGTTCGTGGCAGAGGCTCAACGCCTGAGGCCTCCGCCCGCGTTCCTTCTCTGCGGCCGCCCACTTCTCCCCCGCCGCCGACAAGAGTTTGATGCGAACGCCAGACTATTCTCGAGGAAGAGAAACCCCATAGACATAAACTGTTGGCGCTCCGCGCAGGTATCTCGGATCCGCGCTGGGAGCCCCCTGGCGGCGCCTCCGGCGCCGCCCCTGGCGTGCTCCGCGCGCCGGGGGGGGGGGTGGCCCAGCGCGGATCCAAGAAATCCGCGCGGTGCGCCAAACGTTTAATACTTTTTTTGTTTGTTCCTTGTCTTCTTCTTCTATTGTTGCGAGCGCCGGAGAATTCGGCGCTTCGCATCATAATGCGTTCTCCAATCAGCTCTTTGCAGCAGGTTTTTGTCAATGCCGCTGGACATGATGAGCAAGCCGACATCCGATCGCACTCCCATACATCAGCATTGGAACATCAAAACGCTTATCTACCGTTGCGTACGATTGCGAACGCACCGTGCTCTTCACCCCTACTTTTCAACTTCTTCCTCACCAGTATCTGGAACCACCTCAGTCGCAGAATCTAAGCGGGAGCAGTGGGCTGGAATGGGGGAAGGAACGGACACGGCCGATTTCGGTCCGATCGCCCGATATGATATCGGTGTCGGCGATTCGATGCCGAAGTTATGACGATCCGTGGTTTGCCCGATGTTTGCATGGCGGTTCTGTGCATGTTGGCGCTGCCGATCCGATTCGATTCCGACTCCGTGCCGATGGCGGCCCGCTTCGATGCACGTTTCCATCCGATCCGAGTTGTTGATTCAGTTCTACCCGCTCCCGAGGAAGTGAGGGAAAAGGGTGTGCACAGTTCGGTCGGCCTGGTTTTGACGCAGTCGGTTGCGCTTGTGTGGTTCGGTTCGCCTCTGTTTTGGAGGGGCAAAAATAGACAGAGACAATCAATCGTCGAATTCCAGGAATGTATAGGACAATATGGGAACTGGAGGGGAAGATGAACACCCAGAAATATGGGGAACTAAGTGGAATCCTGGGACTTGTGTCTATTTATCTGTGTGTGTGTGTCCCGTTGGTGGTTGCGTCGTCGCTGCGTCGCCGCGCCCTTGGGGCTTCTTGCGGCCCGCCATTCTTTTTTTTGTCGGCGGGTTTTCGATTGGTGTCACCGGGGGCGGCCCCGGGACGGGGGGGGAATGGCGTGAAGGTGCGGGAAGAAGGGCAAGAGGCGGGGAGCGAGGAGAGCGAGGGCGGTGACGGTGTGTGTGTGTGTGTGTGTGTGTGTGCGCGTGGATGTGTGTAGAAAGAGAGGGAGAAGGAGAAGAATGAGAGAGAGAGAGAGAGAGAACAACGAAGAAGAGAGATGGAGCCAAAAAACAAACAGAGAGAGCGAGAGAGAGAGAGAGAGGCCTGCCCCCTTCGCTCATCGAGCGTCGCTGGGCTCCTGCTGCGGCAGCAGAAGGGGGACGGGAGAATGCAGGCTCGTCCCTTCCCTCCTCCTCCCCTCTCCCTCCTGTTCCTGCTCCTTTTCCTCGTCCTATCCTCCCCCACTCCTCCTCTCCTCCTCCCCTCCTCTTCAATCCTCAAGGATCGAGCATCGAGGATCGGCGCGGAGGGTGGCGAGGAGGGGGATCAAGACTGTAAGCGGTTCGGTCGGTTCGGTTGCTTCGCAGCCGACTGCATTCGGTCGGTTCGGGTCGGTCGGTACTGCGCGGGCGCGCCCTTCTAGGTTGCTTTCGGTTCAACGGTTTCTGTCGCTTCCTGTTTCGCTCTCAGTTCGGTCGGCTTTCGATCTCGGTGGCGCCGTGTGCGTCTAGGTAGATAGGAGGGAGCACCAGGGGTGGGAGTGATGGGGGCATGTCCATGCAGAATTCCCGCGCGCCCGGCAGGGTTTCCCCGGAGTCCTCACTGGCACCACCAACTGGGCCAACTCCGCATCGGGCTTCGGCTACATGAACACCGCGAGTGTCACCGAGCTGTGCCAACAACACATCGGCTTATGATGTTCCAGCGTACTTGATCACCAAAAAGAATCTCGTCCACCAAGAAAGTACCGGAACTGGAGAGTTTTCACGTGTCGGGCCCTTGGAGGCGATACTCGTTCGACACTGTTTCGACACTTTTCTGGGTGCTCGAAATCATTTCTGTGATGTGGTCCCTAAGTGCGATGGGAACAACATAAACATTGGCACCGATACGGGTCAGGCCCTTCCCGGGTCCAGGATCGGTGTACAGAGCCTTCTGACCTGGGCGAGGGCCTTACATCAATCTTCGGCCCAGGAGAGGCGTTGTGAGCCCTGGTGTCAGCGTGGAGCTGGCAGTTCCCCAGGCGATGCAGTCCGCCCCCTCGTTCTGGTTCGCGGTGATCGCCGAGGTGCTCGGCGTGTTCCAGACCACAAAGGCGCTGAGCGACGCATCCGCCTCCTCGTCGAGTGAACGCGTCACGTGACCAGGGCAGCGAAAACAATTGGGAAATCAGGAATGACATAAACATTCATTCTCGGAGGTCCGCGCGGATTTCTCGGATCGGCGCTGGAGCCTCCTTCCCGGCGGCGCCTCCGGCGCCGCCACTGGCGCGCTCCGCGCGCCAGGGAGGGGGGTCCAGCGCCGATCCGAGACGTCTGCGCGGACTTCCACACGTTTACGTTCATGTCATGTTATGTTCCTCTCATCAAGTCCCAGCGCGATCCAGACCTCAAGCCCCTCGCGCCCCGTTGACCCCACCCGTGTTTCAGGTCCACGAGAACGAAAAACTGCTGCGTTCCTGTCACAGTCCTCGCACCCCCAACAGTGATGCGTCGCATTTCTCAGATATCGTTTCCGCCTCCAGCGAGGCACCGCCACCCGCTGTCTTTTTGGAGACGCCTGCGTTGCGAAGCATCAGGCCAAATTTCGGCCAACACACTGGGCCGTGTGCTCCTCCAGCCGTTGCAGGAATGATGTCAGCACGTGAATTCGAGACAGTGATCTTGTGCCATCCTTCGGGTGCAGATCACTTCGCCAATAATGAGTTGTCAACACCAATGCTCGCTAAAATATTTCACCCTCCCGCAACTTTTTGGCAAAACCCATTCGGCCACGATTGCTGTTACCGATTGGAACTTGCTGAGGCATCTCTACGCCCCGCGTTCACGCTCACGCGCAGATCAGCCAGCTGGTTTGGCAAAACTGATGCGGCTGTATGGCGCTTACTGAGGGGAACTTCCCAACCCGTCTCGAAGGCCGCGTTGGCGCGCGGGTACTTCCAGTGCGGGTCGGTGACTCTGGCGGGCATAAAATCTGGATGACGTTGACAATGGCGACAACGATGATGAACATAGGGATGATGGTGGCAATGACGACGGTGACGCCAACGACGGCGCGGATGCTGCTGACGACGATGGCGTTAATAGCATCCATGTATCGCTGATGACGCTGATTGGGATGGTAATGCTTGTAACGATGATGATGATGATGACGATGCTGGCGGCGATGACGATGATGATGGTGATGATTGTGGTGATGTTGATGACTATGATGATGCTGCCGCTAATACTGGTGACGATGATGGTGATGATGATGATGATCATGTTGATGGCAATGATGATGAATCGGATGGCGATGATGATAACGCTGGTGGTGATGGTGGTGGTCACGACGATAATGTTGATGGAGGATGAGGATGATGACGATGAGGATGTTGATGATGAGGATGCCGATGATGATGATAAGGATGCTGATGCTGATGATGACGACGATGATGATGATACTATTGATGCTGATGCTGATGCTGCTGCTGCTGCTGCTGATGATGATGATGATGATGATGATGATGATGATGATGATAATGATGACGATGATGATGACGGCGGCAATACTGGCGATTGGCGATAACGATAACAGCGGTTGTGCGCTGGCGTCGATGAGGATAATGGGGAAGTGCGCGCGCAAAACATTACTGGGGGGGAGCTATGCTGACCCACCGTAGGGCACTTGAGGGCACCAGCCATAGGACACCTCACATGGCACCAACCATAGGACCTCAACCATACGGCACCGCAGGCACCAACCGTAGGGCACCGACTATAGGCCACCAGCGCGTAGGGCACTAGTCATTGGGCACCACCGCGCAGGGCACCAGCCATAGGGCGCGGACGAGGATCGGCCGAGTGCGCAACACAGGGTCCGCCACCTGGCATCATCGCATAGTGCATAGGCTAGAAGGCTTTGACTGGGAACGGCCGACGGTGCAACTTAGGGCCAGCCATATGGCACAAATGCATAAGGCACCAACGCATATGGCATTGACTGGGACCGGCCGACTGCGCAGCGCAGAGGGCCAGCCACAGAGCACCAACGCTAAGGGCGCCGACTGCGCCACAGAGGGCCAGCCATAGGGCACCACCAACGCACAAGGCCCCAACTCCTGGGCACCAATGCACATGACACCAACCATAGGGCACCAATGCATGGGGCACCAGCACGGGCAGTGACCCAGAACGGCTCACTCCGCAACGCATGGCCAGCCATAGGGCACCAACGCATGGGGCACCAGCTATTAGGGCACGGACCAGGAATGGGCTACACGGGGTCAGTCATATGGTATCAGCCATAGGCATGACCATCCATAGGGCACCAACGCATAGGACACCGACCAGAACCGGACGACCTCGCAGCATAGGGCCCGCCATAGAACACCAACGCATATGGCACCACTGAGCAGGTCACCGACCAGGAGTGGTCGAATGCGCAACTCACAACCAGCTCTTTGCAACAGAAACGAGAATCTGCAAGTGCAGCCATTGCTTGGGGAGCTAATTGGGGACGTTCGGAGGCGACTGGTCATTGGTTCCCTGGCCTCTTGGACCTCCTGTATCCTCCTGGGTCTCTTGGACCTCCTACCCTCTGCTGGGGTGTCCTGGCTCCTACTGCGGCGAGCCGTCAAGTCTGGTCACAGCCAGAAGCACCCCGAGCTTCCTTTCGAAAAATCTGATCTCCAGCTGTTGTTGCACCGATCTCGGTGCCCGCGCAATTCTATGCGCGTTCCCCCAGCCACCAGAGCGTCGGGGCCCCGTAGCTGCCCTTGGCGTCGCCCGCGTGTTGCCGCTGGCCATTTTTGCTTCGCGCGGCCGGCTCTCACACGACTGGGACCCTCTGGCCCCCCGTGATCGCACCTGGAGCCCACCGTCTGTGTGCCCGCTCAGAGCGGGCACGCAAACGGTGGGGCCAAAACACACCGGTCGCCACCGGCCCGCCGTAACGAAAACAGCGGGCGCGTCGGTTTGAGAGAAAAGATGGCACCATCCCGGCGAGGGCTCCGAAGAGAGAGGGCCAGACATGCGACGTCCCCGAGCGGGCCGCTCGAGGACGGCGTTTTTGGTCGTCTTCAGGGCGGCTTCAGGGCCCTGCATCAGGACAGCACATCAGGGGCAACGATAGGGGGGGATAGGCATAGGGGGGGATGCATCGACCCCCAATCGCCGATTGATCGCCGATAGGGGCCCGATAGCCCCAACCTGCTCAGGGAGGTGCGGATTCACTATCGTGGGCCTATCCCTGACCTGTCGGCGATGTATCGCCGATTCCAGGTCGATGCTTCCCCCCCTATGCCAGTCCCCCCTTTTTTTCGCCCCTCAGCACAACCCACCCCCACCCCCAGCTAGGACCACCACTCCTGACCTGGTTATCCAAGGTGTCCTGGCCGGGGGTTGGGATTTTCGTTTCCCGGAGAGCCCCCAACAAAACCACCCTCACCCCCAGCCAGGGCCCCCTGGATCATCAGGTCGGGAGTGGGGGTTCTGGCTGGGGTTGGTGGTAGGTTGTGCTGTCACATCGCTGGCCAATGTTTCCACCAGTCCAGGTTCGCAATGACTGCGATTCCGCGGCGTGGGCGGTGGGCGGAGTAGTATCTGCTCCGCGCGAAGGCGCATGCCGTGCGATGAATAATAATCCGGTTTGGCGCGGAGCAGTTCCTGATGTCGTTTCAACTGACAAAGTTGAGCGTCACATCGAAACTACTCTGCCGAATGCCGCCAGCCGTGTGTAATGTTAGGATAATTCAATCGCTTCGCTCATTCTGCCGGCCCATAATGCTGCATCGCTGGCATTTGCCAGCGTGTTCGTTGCCCCTGCGGCGCTGCGGGGCAACTGTGCCTGGGTTGTGGGTCCGAGTCCTCGTGGAGGCTTCTTGGGGTCTCCTCGGATGGCTCTCGGGGATCCCTGGGGACCAGTTTGAGGTCCTTTTGGGAGCGTCCTGGGAGCATCTTGGGGGCCTCTTGGGACTCTCTTGGGGCGTCTTGGGGGCCTCTTGGAGATGTTTGGGGGCTCTTGGGGGCCTCTTGGGGGCTCCTGGGCGCCTCTTGCGGCCGAGGGCTCGAAACGTCCGTTCCGGATCCCCCTTTAGGCCTTCTTTTGGGAGCGTCTTGGGGCCCTATTGGGTCGTCTTGGATGCCTCTGGGGCCGTCTTGGGGTCCTCTTGGGCCGTCTTTAGGCCCTCTTTGGAGGCCTCTGGAGCCGTCTTGGGGTGATCTTGGGGGCCTCTTGGGCCGTCGTGGAGCGTCGAGAAGCCGAGATGGCGAGAACGCCAAAATCTTTCAAACACCTAAGGCGCATCTATGATTTTTGAATCTTGGGGCGCTCTTGGCAGTGGTCTGGGAGGCTTCTTGGGGCGTCTTGCAGGCCTCTTGGACTGTCTGCGGGCCATCGTGTGCGTCTCGGAGCGGTCTTGTGGCGTCTCAGAGCACTCTTGGACCTTGGGGGCCTCTTGGGGGCCTCTTGAGGGCCTCGTGGCCCTTCTTGGGGCTCTCTGGGGAGCCCCAAGGGCGGCGCCCAGGAGCAAAACCCTCTCTGACCTGACCTTGGCGGAGATCGGCCAGGGTACTTTTCGCCCAGCGACCCATCGCACGAGCGATCTCGCGATCGATCTCCCTATCGATCTCATCGAATCGATTTCACTCTCGGTCGCACGATCGACCTTACAATCGTCCTCTATCGATCCCACTATCGATCTCATTGTCGATCTCACAATCGATCTCAAGATCCATATGACTAATTTTCAAATCATCCACTGAGAGAGAGAGAGAGAGAGAGAGAAACAACAACAAAGAAATAGAGATGGAGAGAGCGAGAGAGAGAGAGAGAGAGGGAGGTAGCACAGGTTTGGCCGTATGGGCAAACCAGACGTTACAAATAATGATTAGTTGCTTTCTACCCCAGGGATGCGGCGACAAAAGTTGGAGCAATGGGAACCCTGTCGCTGGTGGCGGCGGGCTTCTGGAGTGTGCTGCAGAAGTGGGGCTGCGTCCCGCTGGCATGGGCCGCCAGCTTAGCATCTTGCCCTCTTCGTGATATCTCAACCTTTTACATACGGTCAGGAACTTTTGCTTAGCGTGTCGCGCCGCTGGTTCTGGCCCACCACGAGTCGGCGCGACACGCTATCGACGTCCCAGTTCACAGGCATCCATGTCCCGAGCGGTTCCCATCCCCCGGCCCCGTGGAGCGGAGCGACACGCTATCCGCTTGCAGGGCATGACGTGTTGTCAGGGCCTCCGCAGCGACACGCAAGCAAATGGTCTTGACCGTAGCCATCTTGATTTGTCATCTTGTTCATGACCCATCGGACTCATAGACTTCATTGCCTTTTGTAGCTCACTCCATGTGTAGCATACTCCCCCTTCATCCCCCCCTTTATCTCTATTCCCCCTCTCTCTTTTATCCCCTCTCGTGCTCTAGCGCGATTGCGAGCGTCGCCCACACATCGCGACTCTTCGCGGTCACGTCTGTGGCTTCGGCACCCGATCTGGCGGTGCTGTCATACTGAGGGCATCAGCATCGGCACCAGTGCAGTGGCCAAATATTTGGCAGATGTCGTTCCAATTACCCTCAGTGGTTTTCGCAATGAGCATGACGTCATTCTTGCTCTACAGTGGTCTGGGCCTTAGCTTGCCATGATCGCCGCCCAGACCAGATACACAATCGACTTGCTGTTTTCGCTGATCGTATCTCACTTGGGATTCGCACCACACTTGCATGGAAGCAAATTCAAGGTCAAGCCAATTGGGGTTCGAGCCGTATGCGATTTTTCTATAGCAAACCAGTGCCCACTTGGCAACGTCGATACTCCTGTATATATCCGGATAATGTCCTTCGGCAACGTTCGGTGCGTTTATTCGGAGAGTCAACGGACGGCAGCATCCACGCCCAAGTCGTCCGCAGCTGCATCAGCAGCAGCATTCATCGTTGGAGTCGAGGCTTCGTGCATCTGCATTACTGTTTTATGTCGTTTGCCACTTATGCCCATTGCTGTTTCTCGTTATTGAAGACGCATGCGGCGAGCCACTGTCGCCCCCTGCTTTTGTGGCAACGCCTATGTGGCCAAACGGTGGGTTTGATTTTGGCCAGGCTGTTGGCCTATGTGCCCCCCCTGCCGTTGTGGAAGCCAGTGGAGGATCACTTGGGGGAGGAGGAGGGGGAGGAGGATGAGAGGTAGGTGGACGTTGGGCCACAGGTTGGCCAAGCTAGTTGACTATGTGTTCCCCAGCCATTGCTGAAGTCCTTGGGGGAACACCTGGGGCAAGAATAGGGAGAGGAGGACGAGAGGAAGGAGAAGGACAACGAGAAGGAGAAGGACAACGAGAAGGAGGAGGAGGAGGAGGAGGAGGAGGAGGGGGGGAGGAGGGGGAGGATCAGCAGGAGCAGGGGCGCCAGGCACGATGTGGGCCTGGGCGGTTTGAGTTTTTTTTTGTTTCTCGAACGAAGCAATGCACGACATTGTTGTAATCCGCCACGCAGGGAATCGATGCGTATTCGACTCGAAAGAGACCTTTCTCCATTCCACTCGAATGAGTCCTTGTGTATTCCACCACAAAGGGGGTACTTTTCGTAATGCGCCAATTCCTGTGACGGCGGAAAACCGAGTTTGGAATACAGAAGAATTGCTGTGCGTTTTTTGTTTGTTTGGTTTTGCCTAGGAGATGCTTCTAAGATGGCTCCAGGTCGAGCGTCGAGCCCCTGGGGCGGCCCATCTTGGGGCATAATGGAAGTGTGGGCTTCGGGCCACGGCGCCAGAGGGAAGGGCCTCGCGGCCAGCCGCCGAGCATTGTGCGATGTGAGCGCCCGAGACTGGCCCAGCACTGGGGGGCTTGGGGCCCTCGACCGGTCTCTTGCAACACCCAGGCCCCCTCGCGTCGCGGCAAAGATCATGACGTCAGGCTTTTGGCGCTGGCTGGCCTCTCGGCGCCTTCACCGGGCCCTGGGAGCGCCAGAAAACGGCTCGTGGTGAAAGCGCGTTCCCCGTGAAGGCGTCCAGACCTCTGGGGGTCCACGTTGCGATAAAAACGCAACGCCGGGGGTTTTGGTATGTACCCGTCGGTCGTTGAAAGTAGGTGACTTTGGATCCCCAGATTTAATCTACTTTAGGCGCCTTCCTACTTCAAACATCGAGCGGTTTTTCCTTTTCCATCCTCTTCAGGGGGCGGGCGGATATCCAATCTACTTCGAACGCCTTCTTACTTGATGTTTCTACCTACTTCTTCCGACCGACGTGCAAAGTGAAATACTACCAGGACGCTGGATGCACACGACTCGGCTCTCGCCTGGGCGAGAGCGGGATGCACAGGCGGTTGGATGCCTCTCCAGCGCTCGGCCCTTGTGTCTGGCCGTGCAGGCCAGGCTTTCGCACGTGTGTGCAGCGCATGGCCTCGGGATGATGGGCCCGTTTTCCACCATAGGTAGGAGGAGGAGGAGGAGGAGGATGAGGAGGAGGAGGAGGAGGAGGAGGAGGAGGAGGAGGAGGAGGAGGAGGAGGAGGAGGAGCAGGAGCAGGAGGAGAAGGAGGAGGAGGATGACCTCCTCATCCTCTCTGTTCCCCCGTTCTACATATGGTAGTGGTGGTGGAACATTTGTCCATCATCGGGACGTTCCACATCTGAATCCAGTCGTGTGCGTTTCCAGGTTCCTGGCATTGAGGACCGCAGGACGCTCCATTACATGCCTACGGCACGGTGGCATATAATGAGGCGAACGTCCGAGTGGGAGTTTGTTGGGTCTGGCACGGTAAGTCGCTGGTTGGCCGCCAGGTCTGTCACGTGGTGGATTGTTCGAGCACGCTACGGGCTCACACAACATGACATCATCACCCTAGGCGCAGATCTTCCAGTTGGGGATTCTTACATGGTGTGAAAAAGGGGACCCCGAGCAATAGTATATAGGGTGGACAGAACGAACGGTTCGACACATAGACGAAATCGATCTGAAGTAGGTCTACGGCGGCGTTGCCGCAGGCAGCTTTGGGCTGGGTCATGGTAAGGGGCATTTGCTCATATTGCTTCAGGCTGCGTGGTGGTGTGCCTCGGGCAACTTGTTTCGGGCCCAACATCTCTCTAGTCCTCCTCTGGCCAGCCCTCCTTTGTCTGCGCCTCCTCGTCTCCTTTCTTGTGCCAGCCCTTTTCCAAAACTGTTCCTGCCAAGAAGGTGCTAGTTGTTTGTCGAACAGAGGAGCCAGAGGGAGGAAAGAGAAGCGAGGAGAAAGAGCACAGCATGATGAGGCAAACAGGAGGATGATGATGATGAGGAGGAGGAGGATGACGAGGAGGAGGAGGAGGAGGAGGAGGAGGAGGAGGAGGAGGAGCAGAAGGAGGAGGAGGAGGAGGACCTCCTCATCCTCCCTGCTCCCCCGTTCTACAGATGGTAGTGGTGGTGGAACATTTGTCCATCATCGGGACGTTCCACATCTGAATCCAGTCGTGTGCGTTTCCAGGTTCCTGGCATTGAGGACCGCAGGACGCTCCATTACATGCCTACGGCACGGTGGCAGATAATGAGGCGAACGTCCGAGTGGGAGTTTGTTGGGTCTGGCACGGTAAGTCGCTGGTTGGCCGCCAGGTCTGTCACGTGGTGGATTGTTCGAGCACGCTACGGGCTCACACAACATGACATCATCACCCTAGGCGCAGATCTTCCAGTTGGGGATTCTTACATGGTGTGAAAAAGGGGACCCCGAGCAATAGTGTGTAGGGTGGACAGAACGAACGGTTCGAGACATAGACGAAATCGATCTGAAGTAGGTCTACGGCGGCGTTGCCGCAGGCAGCTCTGGGCTGGGTCATGGTAGGGGCATTTGCTCACATTGCTTCAGGCTGCGTGGTGGTGTGCCTCGGGCAACTTGTTTCGGTCCCAACATCTCTCTGGTCCTCCTCTGGCCAGCCCTCCTTTGTCTGCGCCTCCTCGTCTCCTTTCTTGTGCCATCCCTTTTCCAAAACTGTTCCTGCCAAGAAGGTGCTAGATGTTTGTCGAACGGAGGAGCCAGAGGGAGGAAAGAGAAGCGAGGAGAAAGAGCACAGCATGATGAGGCAAACAGGAGGATGATGATGATAATGATGAGGAGGAGGAGGCGGAGGAGGAGGAGGATGACGATGAGGAGGAGGAGGAGGAGAAGGAGGAGGAGGAGGAGGAGGAGGAGGAGGAGGAGGAGAAGGAGCAGGACATACGCTGTTGTTGGCGGCAGCAAACGTGTTGGCGGCATCGGAGATGGTACCAGCACCAGTCGCCTGAGGTCAACCATGAGCAGCACGGCTGACGCAGCAACGAGCGCAACAGCATTTGCCATTTGATTCATCCGATCGTGCTTTGACTAGTGGCGACGATGCCCCATCTCGGTCGTGGGAAGCGCTCATTTGATTATCTGCTCGTTTGCTCTTGCACTCATAATGCAAATTCGCTGTTGTCCCACCTCCTTTCCGCACTTAGTTTTGTAGTTTTGTACATGTGTAACTTTGTATCAAAAGCTGCTGAAGCGCTCTAAGGACTTACATGAGTACGAAGACCGTCCGCGAAGCCACCGACCTCATCCGGGAGTTGAGCAAGGAGCAGTTGGAGCACGCCATGGTCGTGGGCGAGCGGGTGGTGCCATTTTCCCAGTACTGGAAGGAGTACCAGCAGCTGGTCGGAAATTCGCCTGACCACATCAGGCACCTCTCTCACAATATGCTCCAGGTAGTGGTCAAGAAGTGGATCGATGAGGTCTTTTGGGTTGAAGTGCGCGTATGGATGGAGATGACGATGACAGGACGGTGATGGTAATTGGGAGGATGCTGCGAATCATGAAGAGGAGGGGAGTAATGAAGAAGACAGAGATCACGATGATGAGCAACAACGAGCAGCAGAAGGGGCCGATGAAGATGCGGAGGAGGATGAGGAGGAGGAGGAGGAGGAGGAAGAGGAGGAGGAGGAGGAGGAGGGTGGATGGACGGATGGGTCGATGGTGATGGTGGTGTTGCTGCTGATGTAAGGATGAGGAGAAGCAGATGGATGAGGGACGCTGAGGACGACGACGCTTGGGATGACCGCGACAAGCCCTCCACCTCCGGGTGAGACACGGGGCGCCCGATGGCCCAGGCGCTCGGCCGACGCTCGCTCGGAGCGACCGAAGGCCACGCTCCCCTGTGACTCCGTCACGCTTGATTTCTCTGCTCTCCTAATCGTCTCCTTGCTATCATCTCTGTCCAGCTGTCTTATGTCTAGTTGGTATAAGGGTTGAATTGTTATCGAGCTCCGCACATGCGCATGCCGACGTTCAGCAGCAGCAGCCGTCACGCTTGGTGTGCGGGCTTCTGCAAGTACGAGACTAGCCCGCCGCGGCGCCTCTCGGAGGAGCCCTCTGGCGGGTCGCTGGAGTGTTCCTTGGCACGGCCCTGGCCAGCGCAGGCCTCGCAGCGGAGGCGCATCGATGAGCTCCGCATTGCCCGAGCACTGGAGCGGCACGCGCTGCTGCTCGCTATTCTCCATGGTTCGAGGGTCCGAGTTGGATCAACTAGGGGACAGGATTCAGGAGAGGGTTGAAGAGAAGCTTGCCACAACTCTCCAGACCTCGAGCCCCCATCAAAGATTGCATCGCGTAGTTTGCACCATACTCTGCACGCACCGCATATATTGCACCACGTCGGTTGCACTACATAAATTGCGCACCACACAGATTGCACCACATCTAGTTTCCTTTCTTAGAAATATTCGGATCGACCCCCCCCGGAAGTAACGCCCCCCTCTTCGTATTGACATTTATGTATTATTATGCCCCCTATCGTCCATCCTAAATCTGAGTTCATATCATCCCAGGCAGACCGGTATCGGACCCCCTCATCCTTTTTTTGTAAAAAATGCTATGCGCGCACATTCGTTTACCCAAATTCAGCAGGTTTCAAGAAATAATCTCTTCCAAAACATGGGACGATGTGCACGTGCGCGCGTCGTCGCGCATGTCGAAATCTTCCACAAGCGTTAGGTTTCGCAGGGACTTCAAAATCGAGTGTCCCGAAAACATGTAACAAACATGGTTCCGCAACGCACTTTTTCAAAATAAGCTTGCGTTTGGGCTCTTGCGAATTCTTCATGAAATCATTGGCCCTTTATTATTTTCAGAATTTGCTGCCAAATGGCCTCTCGCGCGCGCATGTCAGAATCGCTCGAACGCCCTTGCGCGTGCGCTGTCGCAATAACCGCTTGCAGAAAAACGTGACGAAGTGCACGCCCCCGGCTCCAGAGGAGCCAGCGGCGTCGGAGCGGAGGCATGTCTGCGCCCGGCGCAACGCGGAGCTCGCGCGCAACGGGTGCACCGAGGGGTGCCCAGGATGCGACGCGGTGATAGGAGGTAGGGGCCCACGCGCTCGCAGCAGCGCGTGCCGCGCCAGGATCGAGGCGGCCGTCCTCGCGGGCAGCGGCGAGCGTTCAGACTTCTTGAAGGAGTTCAAGCAGTTCAGAGGTGAACAGATCGACGTCGAGAACGAGCAGGAGGCCGCGGCGTCGCCGCCCGCGGAGGGGGCGGCGAGCGCTGCGGCAGGATCGGCCGAGGCGTTGGGCGAGGCGAGCGCCGCGGCGGAGGCGCCGCCGCCAGACCAGGTTGAGGTCGCAAGCGGGGCGGCCGAAGATGCGGAGCAGCTGGCGACAGCGATGGAGGACGCAGATTTGTTAATGGACTCGCTCGACGAGGACGAGAGCCAGAGCGGGCGTGTCCCAGAACGCGCTGGGAAGCCGGCCGCCGAGGATGATGCGCACCATCATGGGCATCGTGAAGCACGGGGTTCAGCGATGGGAAGTTCGACACGAACGACGTCGGCGGGGTGTTCTGTCGCGACAGACATGCCGCGCGCTGTGTCGCTTTACAGGCTGGATATCCCCGTGTCTTGGCGACTGGCTGGGGCCTGAACGATCCCGATCGGGCCGGGGGGGCGAGGATACTGAGGCGCGAAACGGCGCCCAGGGTGCTCCTGGGATCGCCTAATTGCAAGGCGTTCTGCACGCTGCTGTCATTTTTTCAAGCGACCAGGCCTGAGGTGCGCGAGGACATCGTCGAGGAGGGCCACCGCCACCTCGACCTAGACCTCCGCGAGAAGCATCTGACAGACGGCCTTGTTCATCCACGCCCGCATTCGGCGAGCAGCTGGGAAGGATCCGTCGATGGGTGCGCTGCCGCGGCGCTGGCGGCGGCGATCCTCAGGGGCATCTGGCGTGGATTGCAGAGGAAGGGCCAGATGTCCATCAACGAGCTTGAGGTGGGGCTCAACGGCGACGACGAGCCGGTGTTCGAGAATTGCGAGAGCATTTGCGACGACGTCGCAGGCGCGCTCCTACCGGCAGCAAATGTCAAATGTCAGGAAGGCGAGAATGGAAGATATCGATTGCTAAGGCCTTGTGGCTGGCGCCGCCGGCCCTCGACGGAAATGTGAGGGAGCTCCCGACGCGCCCCCGGGAGGGTGGCGTCCTGATCTGGGACCCCTTCCAAGGACCCCTCCCGGGGGAAGGATCAAAGGGAGGAGGCTTCCTTGGACTCAATCGCAATGTTGCTGGATTTCGCTGTGGATGGGCTGGTGCATGTCGTCATGGCTGGCGTGCTCGAGGGCGAGGGCCCAAGGAAGGGAAGGGGGCGGCAGCGGACTCGGGGGGGGGGGCGCGATGGCGGCGGCGACGCGACGGCGGCAGCGACGGCGATGGTGACGGAAGAGACCCTGTCGCGCGCCGACAGGCTCGGCGGATTTCCTGAATCTGTTCCCCGCGTGCGTGGAGGTTCCGAAGGGGGCAGGGCGCCGGCAAGTCCATCGTCGAGGTGAGGTGTGCCGACGTGAACAACGGCGACAGTGAACGCGTGGGAGTGAGGTCGAGGCTAGTCGCCAAGGGGTCAAGAGGCCAGGCCCGTTCGTGGAGGGGGCGTTCGTGGCGACGCCGCCGCAGGAGGCGCCGCGGAGGCTTCAGTTCAAGATGATCGTGCCCGACGTGTCACGAACGCATTTTCACCCCTTCTCTCTCGGAGAGACCTACGTCGAGCTGCCGCAGGGAAACGCCGCTGGGGGTTCGTTAGGCCCCTGAAGCGGACGCCGCCAGCGCGACGAGTTTTCCGATGGGTGTTTTTAGCTTGCTGGGCGCCGCGCAGGGAAGTCCTGTCCTTGCACGTATTTCCACCCGAGTGAGGAGAACATCGGGCGGGGGCACGGCGACGGCGTGATTTGCGGCGGAAAAGGCGAGGTCGTGGACCAGGCGTTCGAGGTGCTTCAAAGCTTGATGATCTTGAGGTTGCGGGCGAGGCTGGGGTTCGAGAGCGGCGACGCGAAGCGCATCATTCGAGGTCCGTGACGGCAAGCACATCATTCGCTGTGAGCCGTGCCCGCGCTATGCTGAGATCTTGGCCCGAGCATTCGGGTTGACCGAATGCGAAAGGGGGTCTGAACCCCCGGTAGAAGTCTGGAGACAACGACGATGTCCGCGTGATCGACGGCGGGCTGGCGACGACATGCCGATCAGGCACGATGAGGTTGGGGTTTCTTGTTCAGGATCTCCCTCATCTACAGTTCGTGGCGAACAGCGTGGCCCGCCACGTGGCGAATCCAGTGAAGGGTGGTTCCAACTGGCTGAAGAGAGTTGCCAGGTTCTTTCAAGGCGCACCCCAGATGGGTGGTCAGCTTCTGGGAGATGGAGAAGCCCAGTAAGATCACGGTCAGGACAGACTCGGGTTGTGCTGGCGACGTGGTGACCCGCAAGTCGGTCAGGTCAGTGCACGTGGTCATGGGGGGCCATTTGATTCGAGCGGCTACCAGCGCGCAGGCAGCGCCCGGCAGCGCTCGGCGCTGAGCTCGCGCCAGGCAGAGTTCGTGGCCACAGTCATAGCAGGTTCAATCGTGCTGGGAGTGACGAGCATGGCAGCAGACTTCGGCGACCCAGACATGTGCATCAAGATAGGCACATCGATAAGCTCATACTCGAGTGCCGCACAGGGCATCATAGGCAGCATCGGCTTAGGAAAAGTGAGGAATTCAGACATCGGGCTTCTGCGGGTCCAGTATTTTGTGGAGGCGAAGGTTGTCTGGCCGAGGAAATCAGGCGGTAAGTGGAATTCAGCAGACCTAGGTACAAATGACCCAGTTGAAAATGTAATGCGGCAGCATCTTGAGACTTTGTGCGTGTGCGAACTGCCAGGTAGCCACCCGCTGATACTGTATGTTGTGTAATGCGAGATGGAGACGCGCTGTGGATAGCGTCTTGGGCTCATGACCCAAAGGGGGACCGGGACCGATCACGCTCCACAACCTCTTGGGTTCGGGGCCAGTTCCGTGACAGCTGAATGCGAGAGGCTACAGCTGGCGCGCCACCCCTGCAGCGAGGGCTCTTGGATTTTCGTGGGGCCCCGACGTAAGATAGAGTGCTTTGGAAACGCTTGCAGAAAGTGTACCGAGCGCATTCTGGAAGGCGTGTCCCAGACAGAACGCGCTGGAGCCAGTCCGTGCTGCAGCATTTTGGCCCAGAATGGGAAATTATCATACCTGTGTCAAAGCGACACGCTAACCGGTTCCCGATCCCCAAGTGTCAGCGTCAGCAGCCTTTCCCAGCCTCCCGCCACGCGGAGCGGAGCGACACGCTATTCATTTGCAAGGCATACCATGTCATTTGGGCCGCCGCGGCGACACGCTAAGCAAACGTTCTCAACCGCAGAGGTGTGCGTGTGTGTGTGTGTGGATATGATGGCTGGGGCCGCGATGCCTCCGAGGATTTCGTGCCCCCCTCTTCTTCTCGTTCTTCTTCTTCTTCTGATCCTTCTGCTTCTTCTTCTTAGTCTTCCTCTTCTTCTTCTTCATCTTCTTCTTCTTCTTTGAATGCGCCCCCCGGCCTCCGTTCGTCCGCGCGGCCGTTTTCTCGGCTCCCGCCGCTGGGCGCCCCTCGTCGATGCGCTAGCGCCTCCCGGCGCTGGGATACCGTCGGGCCGAGGTACAAGATCGAGGTCGGTTCGGGGAGGGGTCCTCATGCTCCTCGTGCTTGCTGGATGTTCTTGTGCACCCCAGGGGGGGTACCCTTGGATGTTCTGTGTGTTCTGGCGGGCGGAGGGTCTCATGTTCTTGAGGGGTGTTCTTCTGTCTTAGGTCCGATTGTATCCGCCACGTGGACCGATTTTTTGATCTCGCCTTCACTACCACCCTCCTTTCTTCCGACCCGACACTGGATCAGCAATGGCAGAGAACGAACGGGGACGAAGACCGACTGGCATTCGTGCCAATCTCGAGCAGGGCCCTCCGCCGGTGCCGCCGCGGGCATCGTCCGTCTGGGGCAGGGGTCGCCTGCCTGCAGCGGCCGCTGTTGGTTCTGGACAGCGTCTGCGGTCGGGCATCGTGCCATTTTCTGTTCCGTCCCTGTCTCGCGCGTGCCGATCCTGCCTCCTGCCTCCTGCTTTGCTGACTCCTGCCTCCCTCACCCGTGCAGCATTCTCATGTAAGTCTTCTTTAACTTCATGAAGAGAGCGTTCCGTTTGCCATCGCGATCGTCCCGAGTACGCTGACCTCAGCCATACCGCCGTTCCACGACGACGACGACGACGACTCCCCTTCCTGCCTCCTCGTCCCTCCCCCCGATTTACCCCGCTCGAAGGTTACCCGCGCAAAGGGCACGAACGCGCTCGGGACGTGCACGGAGCGGATGTTCGAGTCGTGCGAGATACGGCCGCGTTGGTACAAGGTGACGCTGCGTGTCGCTTGGGCGGCGCTCACGGGTGTAGCTTGCGATCGGCGGCACCCCAACATACTAATATTATGTGTTATGTGTGCGTCGCCCCCCCAAGGGCGACGCGCGCACCGAGAAATCTTCAAGTATATGCACCGTAGCGGGCGCTTTCTGGCCGTACCGCTCGGGAGACGATATACTACAAGATGGGTATACTAATGTTCGGGTCGGACGCGCGCCCCCAAGGAGGACGTACAGTATTCTTCACGCTTCGCGCATCCCTACCAGCCCATTCAGAGACCCTGACCTTGAGAGCTGATTGGAAAAGAGACTAAGAGACAGATCTAGTTAAACAAAGCGAGCAACCAGGGTGAACCGAGAGATCTCTGGGAGCAAGGGGGTGGCCTTGGAAAGCTTCTTGGGCCCCTCTTGGAGCTCTTTGTGTCTCTTTTGAAGGGTCTTGGAGTTCTCTTGGAGCTATTCTGGGGGGTCTCAGGGCGCTCCTGGGGCCCTCTTGGGGCCCTCTTGGAGCTCTCTGGGGGGCCTCTTGGGGGCCCCTTGGGACCCTGGAGGGCCTCTTGGGGCTGTCGTGGAGGGTGTCGGTGAAAAGAGGGGAGTGCTCACGTTTAGTCCCCCTTCTGGGCTATCATAATCTTGGGACGCTCTTGGCCCCCTCTTGGGGCGCTCTTGGGCGGTCTTGGGGCCGTCTTGGGGGCATCTTGGGCCCCATTTGGAGCTCTTTTGGGCCATCTTGGGGCCACCTTGACGCCTCAAAAACTATTCGGAAGCGAAAAGGCGAGCACACATCATTGGCTTTCCTTAGGTTTTTAATGGATTTTGGCTTCTCGGGGGGGTCCTGGGGGGTCGTTGAGGGCACCTGGAACCGTCTTGCGTCCCTGCTGCTGCATTTCGGAGCCCTCTTGAGCGATCTTGCGCTATCTGGAGCCCTCTGGGGCCATCTTGGAGCATCGGATGTTCTCTTGGAGCCATCTTGAGCGAACACAGGGCCCTCTGAGAACTCGCGACCCCCTGTACAGACCCCTGGGAAGGGAGGGAGAGGGTACCCCTCCCCGAAGGGAAGAGGGGCTTTGGCAGAGGACGAAAGATCTCGTTCGACCACCTACGCCCAGAGTGCTGGTGGGATTAGTCTGTCTCTGTGCGTCCCACGCCCGACATCTGCGCGAGCGCCAGGTCCGCGACGACGAAGTGATCCGATCCTGCAGCCTGTCCAGCTTGGCGAGCCCAGAGGTGCCTCGTGATGTGTGGATGGCTACTCCTGGGCGTGTTTGTGTGTTTGCGGTACCTCTTCCCTGGTCCACACCGTGTGACACCGCCGCGCGCACGCCTCATTCTTCCCCTCTCTCCTCTCCCTCTGCCCGCCCTCGCCACTTTCGGCGCACCCCTCACGCAGATCGTGGCTCCACAGAGGGCTCCACACGGTCTCAGGGGGCGCACTCGCATGCGGGCCCGCGCCCATCTTGGCACTCCCACCACGCAGATAGTGGCCCCATAGTCCAGAGGGGGCTCCACGTAGGCTCCCAGTGATTGCAGACGGATGCGGGCCCGCGCCCATGTCGGCGCACCGCTCACGCAGATCATGGCCTCATGATGAGCTCCGTTTCTGTTCTCAGTGGGCGCGTGTGCGTGCGGGCCCGCCTCCATCTCGGCACATCAACCACGCAGATAGTGGCCCCATGAGGAGCTAGCTCCACATAGGGTCCCAGTGGTCGCGGACGGGTGTGAGCCCGCGTCTATCTCGGCACACCGACCTCGTAGATCGTGCCTCCATTGGGAGCTCCCCTGACGGTCTCAGTGGGCACAGACGCATGCGGGCCCGTGCCCATGTCGGTCCCCCCCCGCGCAGATCGTGTCCCCATGGGAGTTCCGCCCACGGACTCACTGGGCACATACGCATGCGGGCTCGCGCTCATTTCGGCCCCCCCCCCTACGCAGATCGAGGCCCATAGGGAGCTCCACTTACGATCTCAGGGTGCGCAGACGGATGCGGGCCGCGCCCATCTCGGCATACGCCTCACGCAGATCGGGGCCCCATAGGAAGTCAGCGCGCCTCTGCGTGCCTGGTCCACAGCCCCCTATCGGCACGGCCCCGCGGAGCGCAGTGTATGGGGACAGGGCTACGCCTTGCACGTCACGCAGCCACTCAAGGTTGGGCGCTTCCGCCCAGGTAATTTGTATTTTTTCTCCAGTGTCGCGGATCAGTTGTTTCCTGTGGGGGATGCGTTTGTTGTCTTCCATCGAAGCCGTGCGGAGGGCTCCGGCTAGTGACGTTGATTTTCCTTAGATAAGGCCGCGCGCCCCGCTGGAATCCCAACATTGCTGCTGCTGCTTACATGAATCCTGGTTCGACGTGAGCACTTGCCTGCGCAAGATAGCAGCGCTGGGTGCGCACAGTCAGTGCTGAGAGTGACACGCCACCCTCTTGCCATAGATCCCTTCAGACATTCCGTAACCGACCGCGGACGCCCCCGAAACCCTGGGGCCCTGGGCCGTCCTCCTTCCCATCCTCCCCATCCTCATCTTGATCCAGATCTTGATGCTCGTCCTCAATTGTCAGAGTGTCATTCACTGTCCCTGGGAGCGTGGCTGAAGTGGAATTCCGCGATATGAATTCTTGTTGTTGTTGTCGTCGTCCCACCCGCGACCCGCCCCGCGACCCACCCGCGACCCACCCGCGACCCACCCGCGACCCACCCGCGACCCATCCGCGACCCACCCCGCGACCCACCCGCGACCCACCCCGCGACCCACCGCGACCCACCCGCGACCCACCCGCGACCCACCCCGAGACCCGCCCGGCGACCCATTCGCGACCCATCGGCGACCCACCCGCGACCCACCCGCGACCCACCCCGCGACCCACCCGCGACCCACCCGCGACCCACCCGCGACCCACCCCGCGACCCACCCGCTCCCACCGCGACCCACCCGCGACCCACCCCGCTTTCGGCCCCTGCGGCGGGCTTCTTTTGCATTCGTCGTTCCAGGTGGAGAACCTGCGACCCACCCGCGACCCAAACCGCGTTCAGTGTACAAATCACAATTTTCGGCGCCTGCGGCGCGCTGTTTTTGAAGTCCTTCCAGGTGGAGGTGGAGAGCCCGCGACCCACCCGCGACCCAAACTACGTTCACTGAACAAGCCAAAACTTCGGCGCCTGCGGCGTTTGTTTTTCTTTTTTTTTGCATTCGTTCCAGGTGGAGAACCTGCGACCCAAACCGCGTTCAGTATACAAATCAAAATTTTCGGCGCCTGCGGCGGACTGTTTTTGAATTCCTTCCAGATGGAGGTGGAGAGCCCGCGACCCACCCGCGACTCAAACTACGTTCACTGAACAAGCCAAAAATTCGGCGCCTGCGGCGGGCTGTTTTTGCATTCGTTCCGGGTGGCCCACCAGCGATCCCCCCCGCGCTGAATTTGTCAGAGCACGACGACGACGATGAGGACGAGGATGCGGATGAGGAAGAGGAGGAGGAGGAGGAGGAGGAGGAGGAGGAGGAGGAGGAGGAGCAAGAGCAGGAGGAGGAGGAGGAGGAGGAGGAGGAGGAGGAGGAGGAGGAGGAGGGGTGGAGGAGGAGGGCGCCATCGACAGGGAAGGTGAGGGCCACGAGGTCCGCCAGCTCGGCGCCCGCGTCGCCCGCGCCCGCCCCCCTCACTCTTATCCGCAATTGCGGGGTGCTACGTATCATCTGGACTGTTATCCTGATCCTCCTCCTCACCACCACCACGCTCGACTCAATTCTAATAGTCATGCTGATGCTTATGATGCTCATCATCATGCCCATCCTCATCCCCCCCCCCACCATTCTGATTATCGTCGTCCTCGTCCTCCTTTCCTCTGATGCTCCTCCTTCCTCCCCCTAACTCCTCGGCCTCCCTTCTTCTCCTCCAACTTGCGGTCTCCTTCTCAGCCTCCTGCTCCGGATTGTTTCGCCGAAATATCGTCGACCACGTCAGGCTTGGTGAAGGTGGGTGGTCAGCAGGATCGCGGGCCCGATTTATTCGCCGTCTCTGATCTGACATCTGAATCGCATCCGCCATATGGGGTCGCAAGCTGTGGCGATTCACTCCTCCGTTTTCACGACTCCGTTCCGCCGCTGTCCGTTGAGCTTGTGACTGCGCCTTGGTCTGAGGCCTCTTGCCGTCTCTTCCCCCAGGTTCTCTTGTTGGGTCACTCTGGGGAGCAACAGCTGGAACGAACCGGTGGAGCTCTTTCAGCTCTGTTACCATCCTCCCTGGGTGGTGTACAGTGGGGGCCCATGCCAAGAAACACCCTGATTGCCTCCAGGGTACCCTGGGTTTCTTGGATTTCGATTTTTTGCTGTGGACAGCGCGACGTTCCCACACCAAAACTCAATGGACGTCTTGGGGTCTCAGGGTTAGGTTTCTTGTGGAAGGTTTCGTGTGGTCGGGCCCCCACTGTACTCACCCTGCTATATATGCAGGCTCGTGTGGGTACGCTCTGCTGTGGGCGTGTCGCTTCCGCATTCTCAATGTGTGTGTGTGTGTGTCCAGACCGATGTTTCGCGCGATGCTAGGTTGCTATGGCTTCGTTACTTTTTAAAGGGGGGGCCTCGTTCGTGAATACTGGTTGAGATTTGTGCGTGTCTGTATATTTGTGTTTGTTTGTGTTTGTGTTTGTTTGTTTGTTTGTTTGTTTGTTTGTTTGTGTGTGTGTGTGTGAATGAGTGTCTGTGTTTACCCGCGACTTCATACAATCTGCGCGCCATAGGGAAACGTGGGTTTGCGTCCTGGGCGACGAAGACTTGTACGTACGGTCGTCGTTCTCGTCGGACATTCAGTGTATTAGCGTTGGTGAGTGTCCACGCCCATCTTGCGAGTGATGCAGCTCCCCAACCAGGTGAACAAGAACTCGAAGGTAAAAGTGCATGCCTTCTACGGCACGAGCTATGAGAAGTGGCTCGACGAAAAGAAGGAACGCCTCTTTCCGCTTGGCAGGGCATGCTTCGCGCACTTGTCCCTCCCAACACACTGTTGCCCGCATCGGTACCTGTACTTTGCTCCTGCTCCTGCTTCTGCTTCTCACCCTGCTGCTGCTACTCTCTCTGCTCATCGAGGGCAGCGGGGCGAGGCAGGGATGGGGATGTAGGACAGATAGGGGCTTAAGGCAGCCTTTAGAGTTGTGCGGAGAGACGCGAGGGGGGGGGTGTAAGGGGATACATTTTGTTAGCACTGCCGTGCAGGAATGCTGGTTAAGGGGTTGTCCCCAAACATTGCCTGCATTTCAAGGGTTCTTCCCCTCGAAGGATTGGGGTCCGAGGCCGCGAGGAAGCGTGGGTGCGGCCTGCGTTGCGCGCGGGGATGTGAGGAATCTTCGGCTCACAGGGTCCCGCCCATGCGCTCCGCGCGAGGGTGCGAGTGTCTGCTAGGTGCGGCCAATGCGTTGAGCGCGGGCCTGGCGAGGATTCGTGGGTGTGGCCATCGGGTTCCGCCCATGCGCTTGGCGCGGGAACGCGTGGATTCTTTGGTTCGACCACAGGGCCTCGCCCATGCGTCGCGTGCGAGGGGGCCAGGGTTCGTGGGCGTGGTCATCGGGCTCCGCCCATGCGTTTGGGCGCCCTGCCGGGCTGCGCGTCGTCGAGCTGCTCCTCGTGCGACTCGCTCGCCCCTGCGTGCACGACCAGCTGCGCCTCGGCGCCGAGAACCGCCCTCCCAAAAGCCGCCGCCGCGGCCGCGGGCGGGAGGCGGGAGGCGAGGCCTCCGCTGGCTCCGCCGCGCCGCGAGCGGCCGTCCCGCTGCGGGCTGCGGCTGCTCGCCCTCGGCGCCGCCCGAGGGCGGCCGCGCGGCGCCGAGCCCGAGGGCGCTCGTGCCCGTCGGCGTTGCGGCACGCTCTGGCATCTCTCGAGGGTTCCGCGCCGCCGACCCCGGCGACCAGGGCGGGCAGCGCAAGGCGCACCCTCGCGCCCACCTGCGCCGCGAGGCTGTCGTCCGCCCCCTCTCCGCCGCTGGGTTGCCGCCCGCCCGGAGCTCCGTGCACTCGGCGGATTGGGCGGCCCGGACCGTCGCCGCGGCGATGGCGGCCGCGACCTTGCGCGTGGCGCAAGCCCCCACAGCACCTGGGGCGGCTGCGGCGAGCAGTGGCTCCGCGCGCCGGGTGCTCTCCATGGCGCCAGCCTGGCCAGCAGGTCTGTTATTGTGATGGTGACGGCGCCGATGCTGATGGTGATTACGTTGCCGATGCTGCTGCTGCTGATGATGATGATGATGATGATGATGATGATGATGATGACGATGAGGATGACGACGATGATGGTGGTGGTGGTGATGATGATGATGGTGATGCCGATGATGAGGATGATGGTGATGGTGGTGAGGAGGATGATGACGATGCTGCTACTGATGATGATGATGATGATGATGATGATGAACATGAATCTGAAGATGCATAGGATGATGATGAGCATGAACATGAAAACGATGACGAAGAAGTCGATGATGGTAATGACGAAGATTCTGATGATGACGACTATGCTGCTGCTGATGATGACGATGCTGGCGATGATGACGACGATGATGATGCCGATGATGATGACGACAATGCTGATTATGATAATGATGATGACGATGACGACGACGCGACGACGCCGACGACGATGATGATGATGCTGATGCTGATGCTGATGATGCTGCTGCTGATGATGATGATGATGATGAGGAGGAGGACGACATCGACGACGCAGACGCCGACGACGCAGACGCCGACGACGACGACGATAATGCTGGTGATGATGACAATGATGCTGCTGATGCTGACGATGTTGATGATGGCGATGGTGATGATGCTAATGATGATGATGATGATGATGATGATGATGATGATGATGATGATGATGATGATGATGATGACTTTGATGCTGATAATGATTAGGTAAATGATTATGATGGTGATGACGATGGATGATCATGCTGATGATGAGGGTGAGGCAGATGATGAGTCTGACGATGATATCCCTAAGGGCTTCGCCACCACGCCGCCGGCCCCCCTCTCTTGGACTGGGACTTGCCAGAGCTGTGTTGGGATGTCTGGGCGCTGACGTGAAGCAATGTCGGGACTTCACGCGAGGGCCAATTATAATGTACGAGGGTTTATGGCTTCGGTGGCGCGAATATGATGTAATTTACAAAGGTTTATGGCTTCGGGGGCGCACATATTGTATACTTTTCGAGGGCTTATGGCCTCGGGGACGAGAGTGCGGTGTAATTTGCGAGGGTTTGCGGCCTCGGGAACGCAAGTATGGCATAATTTTAATGGGTTCATGACCCTGGGGACGCGAACATTGCATAGTCTTATTATAGGTTTATGGCTTCGGAGGCGCGAACTTATCGATCTAATTTACATGGGTTCATGGGTTCGGGGACGCGAATATAGTATAATTCACGAGGGATCATGGCTGCGGGGACGCCAATCTAGAGAAATTTGCGAGGGTTATCGGGGACGCGAGTATGGTGTAATCTAGCAGGGATTATGGCCTCGGGGACGCGGATCTCATGTATTTTTATATGTCCTACGCCCCCCCAGGAATTCAGACAACGCCATTCGGTAACCAGGACGCTTTTCGGCTCCCCCCTCTCGCGCGTTCAGCAACAATTCGCAGTAAGGATTCAGAAAGCAGGACTGTAACAGTGGAAACTGGAAACTGTAACTGGTACAGGGAGCTGCAAGCCTGATCTTCGCAGCCCGGGGTCCCCCGCAAGGGGGCCGGCGGATTGATAATGGCTAGTTCGAGGATGATGCGGCTGATGATGATGTCGGTGATGATGGTGAGGTTAATGATGACGACGCTGCTGGTGATGATGAGTATGGCGTTGTTGTTGCTGCTGCCGATGATGATGATGATGATGATGATGATGATGATGATGATGATGATGATGATGATGATGATGATGATGATGATGATGATGATGATGATGATGATGATGATGATGATTATGATGATGATGATGATGATGATGATGATGATGGTGATGGTGATGGTGATGATGATGTTGTTGATGATGATGACGATGACGATGACGATGATGATG